GGGATGTTAATTGTACCTCTGGGGACATTGCTGGTCCAGTCCTTGGTGATTTGTGTTCAGCCTCAGTAATTTTGCCTTCAACATATTTTTTTTAAAAACTGGTTTGTTAAAGCTTTTTTTCTAGATTTCTTACCAGCATCTCAAATTTATAATAAAGGTGATGATATGCAACATGTTAAGGATATTCGTGGTATAGTACATCAATACTGATTGATGACACACTATTTGGAGGAGAAAATTATGCAGATTATCCCTATTAGCCACGTCTATGAGCATATATATGTTATAATAGGAGAGCACAGGTCAGGAATTTTTCCTTCATTTACCGAATGATCATTAAAAACGAGTAACTCTTTTTCTTCTTGAACAAATCATCTGTGTGGTGTGTTTAACATTTAATTTTTAGCTCCTGATAGTGAAGATCAATAAGGCTCTGTCTTTCAAAAGGTAATTCGGGTAAATTTTTATTTGAGAGAGGTTTTTTCATCTACCACTCCCCCCCCCATAACTCCAAATGTATATGAAGAGGCAAGTTATTCTGCAAACAGCTGTTTTTGTTAAAGGTACAGTAACTGACAGAAGGTACTTTTTTCAGCTTCCTGGGGTCCTTTTCTTATTTTGATAGATGACAGGGCTCTCATGAACATAAAAAGTACTTTTCATAGTTTTTTTTTCCACCAAGTGTATTCTGTTAGCTGACAGACTCTCTCATAACTTCCAAGACTTAGGTAGGATTTGAATCATTATAATGCTACTTTTCTTCCTCGGTTAAAGGCTTGCTATTCACTTGTGAAAAGCCTAAAGGTATGGGAAAGGCAATAGATTGAATTTTGGAGGTTTTATAAATGCTCTGCAAGTTTCTCCTTTGTCTGTTATCAACTTTTTGATGCGGATGTGGTTCACAGATGTCAGCAGCCATTCTCTCGCCCTGCTGCTTTTTGGTCGCATTTTCCCAGACAGTGGGTGGGAAAAGAGGGAACTGGAAGGCTCATCAGAGTGGGAGCACTTATTTCAGCAAAACCTGCCTTCCTTCTAGAATTGTTGTGCTAGCTGCTTAACTTAATAACATAATGACGACCAGGTGAGAGTTAGGTTTTTAAGGCCAAATGTAAGTAGGAAAAGAGGGAAATGGAGGCACGCCTAAAGGAGCTCACGCTCTAGTTTTCTTATTTTTGAAAAGTCTCTGCACATGGTTAAGGGGCAAGGGCAATTGATTTACATGTTTTAGCCAACAATAGCTACTGTTTTTATGATAAGAGTCTTAGGCCAAAGGATGTTGTCACCTAACATTTATGAAGTCCTTCAGAACATGGTCTAATTCTTACTAATACATGGCAATTCTGACACTCTCAGTCTAGATAAGAATGTAGAGGGTTTGAGACATCATTGAGGTGGCTGTGGAAACTGAGGGGTTGCTTTTTCAGAGCTAAGATTGGTACTGGAATATTATGGATTCATTGTGGAAGAGTGTCCTGTGGCCCACTCAGACTGCTTAGTAGTCCCAGGGACGTTCATGGTAAGCTTTCTAATCTGTAGTCATTGTTTTTCAAAGGACAGCAGCAGTCTTTGGGACAGTCCCCTCCGTATCCACATCTCATCCTATCCATATATGCTTTACCGAAGCCATTTTACCACTATGAATGAAAAACAAGGGTTACCAAATGTCAAAAACTACAGCTATATCCCCCATCGTGCCAATTGAAACATTAAAGCCTGTATCTAAATTTGGAGTTCTTGAGGAATAAATCTTATCTAGAAGTTTATTATCATCAAATGTTCTGCATATAAATACTTTGCCCTGAGTTCTGAAGTGAGTTTTATAAAATACGTGAGGGTCTTAGTGTTCCTTTGTGTATTTTACAGTTACCATGAATATTAAATTACATGATCTCCTCATCTATTTTTTGATTTAAAAAAATGTAGATTTTGTATTTTATAAGCTTTCTGTGTCAAAAACAGCAGTCTCCAGTAAGGTGGCATTGCTATGCATTTGCATTGTTATAGAATTAAATTATGGATTCTGTCATTCAAAAAAGGATGCTTTATAAATCAAGTAAAATCTCATAACTAAGATTAATAACTTTTTTCTTTTTAGTTTCATGATGCTTCATATCATGCTTTGGTTTTATAGCCCAAGTTGATGTCATTTTTACACTGTAATTTTCTCTTTATTTTCTATTTCTATGTACTGTTTTTGTTTTGTAAAAATTTCATTAGTTTCTGAAAAAAAGAAGCTTAAGGAAAGTTACTATTTGTAATGGACAGTAATAAAAAAATTCATAAAGATATGTTCAGTTTTCTTCTCTCTGGGTTGGCAGAAAACATGCCAGATAGATTGTTCTCCTTTTGTTCTTTTGTTCATTTCCCTTTCTTCTAATACAGGAAGTATAAATGATGTTAACAGTCTGTAAGTTTTAGCAAATGCTAAAACCCGAATCAGTTCCCTTTCTTTCCCTTCAAAAGGCGCTCTATTGAAATAAATAAATTAATGGGGGTAAAGGCACTCTATTGTTTGGAATTCTGAATACAACAGATATATTTATATGTCTTTTTCTCTTTTGCAGAGGGATTACAAATCCTATTCCATAGCTACCTAATAGCAATGGTCTTAAGTTATCTAGGCTTTGCAACCCAAGGCAATCCTGCTCAGCAGCTGCCTGAGTTCTCTTCCTCGCTGCTGCTATGTAACTGCCTCAAACCATAGAATTGACGCAATGTCCCAGAATGTGTGTCTGCAGCAAGCTGAAAGATAGGCAAAGGTCAGGAGTAAGGTATTTCCACCTGGTTAGAGGCCAAGAGCCCGAAATGCAGCTGCAGCTGCAGCTGCTGATAAAAAAGCCTGAAATTCAGACTCGAGGTCAGAGATAGATGGGGATTAAAGATCTGGACCATCACGGGGCTCCCTGCAACTCTGGAATAATTCCATTTCTCTGGAAAAATGAGATGGGAGAAGAGACAAGATTTAGGCCTGGGCCTTGGGAGAAATTTTTGCTGTTGGGGTCTGGAAGGAGTAGCAGGAAGACTGACGTAGAAGCATAAGCTACCATGCCGTGGTGGAAGTCACCAAATGCTATGCATCTTCTAGACTGGGTTTTTGAGCCAAACGACCTTACTTGTGTTGCTGGAGGGTGAAGGGTCTAGGCATTATAATCCATGTGACTGTCTCAGCGTTTAAGAGAGATATAGTATATGTAAAATGATGTTTATGGTTTTCTTGGGAAGAGATCCCTGAGATTGTGATTTTAGTGTGGGGGAAATTTTTCTTGCAGTGCTTATGTGTGTTGAAATTATATAGCTTTTTATAAGCTATTTGTATGAATTCAGGAGAATTAGCTTAATAACATTTCCAACTCTTAATCTGTATAATTTCTTCTTTTTCCAGAATTTAAGAACAAAATTTAAAGATATTTGAAGTGAGGTTATTATTAGATTTGATAATTATTTTAATTTGATCAAAAATAAATATACCAGGGGAAGAAACAGACGGGCAAATGATAAGTGTACTTTCAGTTTTTCACAGTAGGTTTTAAGTTATACTCTACCTCATGAATATGTGCAATTATCATCCGAGTACATTTTATATGTGTGTATATATTTATAGAATTAATGAAGACTTCAAAAAAGCAGCAACAGTGCATTCAAATGTGCATTATATGTAGCTTGGCAAACATTTTGAAGTACACACCATGTTTCTCAATAAAATTGTAGGAATGATTTCATAGAATGATACTGAAATGAAGTGAATGTGTGTATCACTTGAGTATTGCAAATAAGTACCATGCATAGAATGTGTTGAATGAAAACTCTTGGTCAACTGACTCATTTTTCCCCTGGGAATTCAGATAACTTAACTTGCATTCTGAGTCCAAAGAAAAAGGTTGTATTTTTTTCGTTCTTCTTCCTCTTCCTCTTCCAGTAACTTCATGCTGGGCAAAGAATCCCACATCGATGGGAAAAGGTTTACTTGCAGTTGTGCTTATCTCAAAAGGATTATGGTGGATTTAGTAATCCAAACAGGATAGCCTTTAGTTGCTTCGTGTAAGGTTCATAGTTGAATACAGTGGTCGGTCATAATAAGACATTGCAATAAACAACTTGTCCAGTGACACTCTTTGCTATCACATAAACAGCAGCTGAGTCACCGTTTACAGGACATCAAAGGCATGTGGGGTTTTGCCTTTGGTTTTTTGAAACAGGCCCCACTCTGAAGCCTATGTTAGCCTTGAACTCATGGCTTTAATCCTGCCTCTGTCTCCACAATACTGGGATTACAGACATGAGTCACCATGCATGGTTCGATAGAATTTAAATATTATCCTTGCTTGAAACTGATTGAACTATGAATTTAAAAAATGATGAGAATCCAGGACAAACTTTAGTATCTCAATGACCTAAGGATGTTGCTGCTACAACCTAATAATCAACATATGACCATCAGACATACAGATTTATTCTCAGACTATCACAGCCTCATTAGCATAAAGTGCTGGGGAAAAAGAAAGCTTTGGAACCTAGACTGTCCCAGGTAATAGAATCCAGGATTAATAAACTTGTATGTGATTCTTAAACATCCTCCCTGAATTTTTTTAATTACTTGTCCATATGGATCCATATCCCAGTCTTAAACAGATGATTTTACATCTTTGCAACTCTTGTTGAAAGATTTTTATTTCACTTTGTAATTTCTACTTATATTTTATGGCATACCTTTCCTAATAAAGAGCAACTAAGAATGTTCTGGAAGAATAACAACTAGATTTTTGCGAGTATGCCCCCATGGGCAAGTCACTAGTGTTACTAGTGTCACTAGTGTCAGTTTGTTGATCTGGGAGATAAAGATAATAAGAGTGTCAATTTTACAGGCCTGTTAGGAAAAGAAAATGGGGACTTCATGGCTAGGGCTTGTGACTGTTGGTTCTTAAGAGCTTAGAAAGTCTCTATAATTTCTTTAACCGTACCAGAATTATTAAACACAGATTTATCTAAATTTTTGCTATTAGGGTCGGTGCACTCGAGAGAACTGCAAGTACCTACACCCTCCACCCCACTTAAAGTCGCAGCTAGAAATTAATGGGAGAAACAATCTGATTCAACAGAAGACTGCCGCCGCCATGTTCGCCCAGCAGATGCAGCTTATGCTCCAAAACGCTCAGATGTCATCTCTTGTAAGTTACGCTAGTCTTTGAGAACTGCCAATGCATGTGGGGTATTCTGGCTGCTGTATGACTGTTCTCCACACCAGCCTTCTATCCAGCATATCTGTTTACATTAAGTCCAATCACAGGAGACTTTTGAGCACTTGATGTTTTTGTTCATGATACTGTTTCCAGAACATCTAGATAGATTGATGCATGATAGATTTTATGTTCTACACTATTAGTTTGCCAAATATATTTGCCTTCCAAGTCAGTGCTGGTAATTAAGTGGATTGATTAATCCTCATGTAACCAGTGAGCTCCCTAGAGCTCATTTGGCCTTCCATAATACTTTACATGAGCAAAGTCCTTGTTGGACTCGTCTGGGCTTTTATATGCTGAAGGATCATGTTTCCTCCCTACTCATCTGGATAGTAAGATATTGGGAATAACGTTCACAGAAAGGTAGATATGTATATTGAATATGGAAAGTACATGGGAATAAACCAAAGGAATTTTTAACTATTTTTTCACTTTATTGTGGTATGGTGACAATGTATTCATTTAAGGTATAAATGTGATGATTTATACATATAATACATATGTGTGTCATTTATAAAAGGAGATGACATAAATTAACCTAAAGGATATTATGTCATGTGGAACAGATCAGACTGAGAATGACAAATCCTGCACGGTTTTACTTATATGTAATCTCAAAAATGTTGAACTCATAGGAACAGATAATAAATTGATTGTTGCTAGAAGCTTTGGGTGAGGGTAGGGAGATGTTGGTCAATGTTTGACTAAGGCAAACAAGTATTTAACTCACCGTTACCATTCTCAGGCTCGTATGGAAATAAGCAAGGGATAGAACAAGATGTTACTAACACATGAGCCCAATATGTCTTATAAATCCAGAGCAGGTATCTTTTCAAAGGTCAAGATATAGCCTCAGAGTGCCTGTCAAATGCCCTGTTTCGGGGAATCAGAGATCTGGGCATAGAGTAAAGTAGGAGTGAGAAAAACTATGTTCTTTTCAGCCTGTGAGAGCCTCTCTGTCTCTGTGTAGGAATGGTTAGAATGGCTCATGCTGGGCAAATAGAGAACCGTTTTAAAAGAAATGAGTAATACATTTATTGAGTTTGAACATTCTTCAATTCTGCTTTCTAATTTGATTCTCCATGAGTTTGATAATAGGTCACACACACACACACAGACACACACACATATATGGATACTAATATGTTAATATACATTAATATATATATTTTTCTTTGGTGGGTGTAACTTAAAGATCTCAAGCTTAAGAAGATAGCCAATATGACTCATCAGAATACAATACAATATATAATAAGTATTACATAGAAGATCCCCAGAGAACAATTAGAAATTGTTTTTTCTACCTCATTTAGTGATAGCTATTGTGATGAAACAAGTTAATATGGATTAATTTCTACAGCTAGTGTGTTCACAAAAATCTAATCCTGAGGTGGTTGATATGCTTCTCTATGGTCTAGGAAGTTGCTTTGTAGAACTGTTGTAATTCAGCTAATGTGTGCAATTTTAAGTGAATTTACCAGTCTCATCTGGAAGAAATCTCTTTAATATGAATCCGGATCTTGATATTACAGCGGGAATGTATAATTTTGCTTAATTTCCATGGTATGTATTCTTCCTATAATCAGTTCTTTTTATCTCTTTTAATCAACCCCTTACTAATAATTTAATACTTGTCCTAAGAACAAATTTTGTTTAAAAATTTCCAGTCCTGTGTTTGTGTGATTGCACATTAATAACCATTTGTATCACTAGCTTGAACTTCAGGTCTTTCCACAAAGCATACTTTGATTTGTTTCTAGGATACCAGAAGAACACATTTGCCTTCGGAAAATTGAATATAGCTTGCTTATTATAAACCCCTAGATAAAGGGAATGTCAGCCTACAGAGAATGGGAGCTAGAGAGCAGATTCTGTTCCATGTAACTGAACAATGAATAAAAACCACACCTAGTCAATTTAGGTGGTATGCTTGCTATGGTAGGAGAGTTTGTTCACTGTGTTTAACAGGTGTGCACTGACAGTTGCTTCTGTGAAGATCTACCTTTGAGAGCTTTTAGGTGGCTTTATTAAGAAAGCTTAGCAGATGGAGCAAGCACCGTGGCTCCCTAGCATTTTCCAATGCATTTAAAAAGCCAGTGTTTCTGATGTTCAGACTCGGTCTACACTGTCAAGAGGGAAGAGAACACTGTAGAATATAGTAGAAGTAGACATAGCAGAAAACTCTCAAACAAAGCAAAACTTAAAAACAATCTCAGCTTCACAATGAAGAATTTTAGTGATATGAAAGGACTCTTACTACTAAAGAGGATGCATGTACATATTAAAAATATAATGCTATAAGACTATAATATATTTCCTGAGACATTCTGTATAATGGACCTGTATCAAGAAATTCTCCTCCTAGTCCTCTATTGCAGCTTCCCCTTCCACCAGAGAAGGGTGGATCTGAACTGTGGTTTGGGGCCTCCTTTTTGCCCCTATAGTCACTGTACTCTACTTATCATTTGCTTACCTGACTACCTTTAATGTTTCTTTTTAACCAAAGACATCTATAATTTTAAAGTTAAAAAGGACTGGGTGTAGTTGAGGACAGGTATTTCCTTTTCAACCATGAACCTTTTCCCTTAGCTCTCTCAAGGGCAAAGGTGGCTTATTTTTAATAATTATGATGAGTAGACGAACATTATTATCATTTTTCATTTGTTTATAAAGATAACTCATAATTGTTGAAGTACCATTTAACTGGTCTGGAGATTATACGGGCCTTCTGCAGCATGCCTTTTGACTGCTTCTGCCCCTTAAGAACATCACTCAGTAGGTGACCAAGTAAAAACTATGAAACGTAAGTTATTCAGGTGTGCTCTATGTGAACAGTTAGTAAAGAAAGATAGAAATGAAAACTATGTATTTCATTGCTGTTCAGAATTTTCTGACAGCAATAAGCCCAATGATTTTTTTAAAAAAGGCTTACCTTTTTTTTTATACAACCTCAATGTCTTCAAAGGTACAATACAAGGACAGTATTATGACTGCTAATAAAATTTAAGGGCACCGTTTTTCTGGTATTAAAATCAACTCAACAAATTGCTAACAAATGTTTACTCTCAGTAAAAGAAAATGCTTAGTCTTCTTCCTCTAGATAGAAGCTCAGAGATGAAAGGCCATAGCTATTCTCTGGCTGCTAGGTCATGCTATAATTTACATCACTTAAAATCTTTTCTGTTCATCAATAGTTGTAACTGTTGTTGGGTATTACTGAGAATGAGTAGGTCTCTTTTGTTAGAGAGACAATGGATTTAGCATAACATTTAATTTTCATTTCTTTATGCTAACTTGATGAATAATTCATTTTAAGCAATGGGTTAGTGTCCCCAAAAATGTTTATAAACTAGACACATGTACTTAAGGCATAACTTTTGCTTTTTTCTTAATTTTTAAATGGAAACATATTTACCCACATATTTATGAGGTACACTGCAATAATTTTATAGATGCATACAATGTGAAATGCTAATCAGTGTGATCAGCATTTTCATCTCCTCGCTTAGTGGATCCATGTGTTGGGAACCTGAAGACTATCAAGATTTGTACTAGACTCTAGTTACTCAAACCATTTGATGAAAGAGACACCTGTACTTCCAGGTTTATTGACCACTGTTCACAGTAGCTAAGATATAAAATCAACCATCAAGAGGTAACTGGTTAAAGAGCCAGAATTTTTATTGAATTGTTATATTATTCAAAAGATGCTTTAGAGTCCTTTAAGAAGAATATTTGCTAGGTTCTTAAATTTTTACCTTGGAAGACTATTATCTTCCCATAGCTAATCACTAAGTAGCAATTATAAACATATATGAGTAAGGATTCTCTCTCTCTCTCTCTCTCTCTCTCTCTCTCTCTCTCTCTCTCTCTGGGGGGGGTGGGATGGGGTGTGTGTGTGTGGGTGTGTGTGAATGCTATGAATTCTTATGTTTGAGAGAGGTTAAATGTCCATACTTTCTGTAACACAAGTCTACAAAGGAGCACAGTGAAATCAGTAAATAGATCTGTTAGTTCAATTGACAGGAAAGATGTTGTATACATAGAGGCAGGATTAGGTTGCTTAGGTTACTGCAACTGAATGCACAAATTTGTAGGCTGCTTGACTTAACTCATGATTGTTAGTCAAAGCTAAACCATCGAAGGTTCAGATTCAAGGAATGGCATAGTTAGCTTGGGGCAGAGGTGGTGTTGAGAACATAGAAATGCTTATTTCAAAAGAAATAAGCAGCTCAGGAGTTCCTGCTCTGCTCCAGGGCCGCACTTGGAAGAACTTGCTCCTCAATAAAGTGTTATAGAATAGCATTTGTACTCAAAGATGGAATGGTCATAAAAGCTACAACTCTAATTTTAAAACCTAATTGCAACCCAGTAGAGTTTGTGGTTAAATCTTTAAAAAGAACTAAACATCTCCAGGAATCGGTTTACCTTTTTGATAGGCTGATTATTTACAGATTTTCTTCATACTATTAGAAGAAATAACAGACCCTAAGTACATTTAAATGGTTTTTAAAAAACAGAAAAAAAGCTAAAAAGAAAAATTTCCCCTGGCAAAAAGTGAAAATTAGAGAGGTTAGAGTTTTTGTGAACATTGAGCTTGGCTTTTAATCGAAAATTAATTACAGATGTTATTTTTTTAGTCTGAAAATAATCCATCCACCCCTCAGCCTTTGTTTACTAGATTCTAGTTGTAGTGGGTTTTTTTCAGTTTTAGAAAAAGCAAAATTAAGAAGTATTTAGAATTGGAAGTGACTTCAGTGAGAAAGTCCATAAAAGTCTGAGAGGAAACAAATACTTGGAAACAAGACTACTGTGTGGTTGTAATGTGGAGCTTTTACTTTCAAAGATTCTTGCTGATTGTGGAATGAGTATGAATCATTGAATTAGTAAGATCTGACTTGTCAAGGTCTAATTCCTGAAAATGGTGAGAACTTAGACAAGTTCCTGAGAACTGTTCCATCATAAGACTTAGCTGGGCTTGGTCAGCCCAGGGCTATTTGTCCTCAAACTGGAGAGCCCCTCCCAAGAGTGTTCCATCATCTTTTTTGGCATCTAGTTTGGTCCCTTCATTTTAAAGTATCTTCCCCTTACCCTAATGAGGCCTGTTCCTTTGAGGTAGATTCTTTCTGTTCTTGTTAACAGAGTAGTCAGTTAGTTTAATAAATTTGCCTAAGGAGGACTGCTGAAGCAGGAGCAGTCCTATGTCAGCCAACTTGGCCTTCAGGGTTTCTTCCAGCAGCTGTGCTAGTGGAAATTTAAAGTAGGCATGGAGGATAAGGTAGGAGTTGTACTTATTGCCCCTGCCAGACTCCACACATTCCTGTTTTCCCTGTAGTTAGAGGAAGCCCTCTGACTGCAATTTAGCATGTATGGGGGCAGTTTGATTTCTCCAGTGAAAGAAATGCAAGAAAGAACACATGCACTCAGTAAAACCACAGTGAGCTTAATTAACTTACTAAGTTGCTATTAGAAATATATAAGTAATATTTATTAGTCATTGGTTAAATTTCAAATTTATTTTGAAATATATCTTCAGTTGTATCTACAAGTCACTCAGTAAGTATTCAGTACTCTAGGTCAGAGAGAGCTATCAGTGAAATGATGACCACATTGTAAAGATGCAGACATGTGTCGGGAACTGGAAAACAGTGCTGTAAAGTGATAAAATGTGCCATTCCTGAGACTAAAGGCAGGAGCATACCAGTCTTTTTGAATCCAGGAATTTTAAGTACAGACATACCCAAACCAGTAAATAGCATTGTATTTCTAAGGCTTTTCTTTACTAATTATGCTCTTAAATTATAGACCATATAATTCTGGTATCTTATCTCTTCCTCCATAACAGAAATCCTTGTAGAATTTCTAGGATCTCCTTTTGAACAATGAGTGTCATCTGGTCCCTAGAAAAGACAAGGGCTGGGCTTAGTCACATCCATTTCTGAAAAAGGTCCTAGAGTTCAAAAGAAAATGGTAAAATAAAATGACAGTGATATCCTCATTTTAGATAGACGGTAAACTGTTAAGGCATTCACTTTTCCTAAATTACCCTTTTGTTTTTCCACATCTTCCATAAATAGTACTGGGCTAAGGAAAGAAAGAAGGGTGGGACACTATTGGGTGATTGGGACATGTGGCAGGACAGGCAGCCTTATAGCCAATTACAGCTGGGAAGAGGAAGGAGAAGGTGGGAGGAAAGGAGTTTTCAGGAATACACCAACCGTACCCCTCTGCCCATTAAAGGCATGGCAAAGGCTAAGGAAACTAAGAGAAATTTCTGTGTGTCTGTGTGTCTGTGTGTCTGTGTGTGTCTGTGTCTTTGTGTGTATATGTGTGTCTCTTGTCATGCATTGGTTAAATTAGGGCTTTTCCAAAAATCAGCTTACCAGTAAAGTTCATGCTTATAGAGAGTTGTTCTTTTAAAAGCACCTATATAGGAATTACTAAAAGGCAAAAAAAATCAAGAAACAGTGGTAATTATATTTGGAATATATATATAATTTCATGTATATATACTTTTTCATGTAACAACAATTAAAATAAAATAAAGATGCCATATACTTTAAAGAGGGTAAAAAGGGGGGTATGGGAGGATTTGAAGAGGAAATGGAAGGGAAAAATTATATACTGATATAAATATATAAAAATAGGATAATTATGTAATAAATATAATAAGATGTTATCATATAATCCCCAAAATAAAAAGAAATAGCACTATATTGTGGTATGGCTTATATTCCTTCAAAAATGCCTGGTACAATAAATGGTAAGAAAAATTTGTTTAGCTATAATACCTCATTTTCTCTCTTTTGAACACAGGGATCTTTTCCTATGAATCCATCACTTGCAGCTAATCCTGCTATGGCTTTCAATCCTTACATACCTCATCCTGGGATGGGCCTGGTTCCTGCTGAGGTTTTTCCAAATGGTCCAGTTCTGATTTCTGGAAATCCAGCTCTGGCACTGTCAGGAGTTCCTGGTCCAAAACCAACTCGTACAGATAGACTGGAGGTAAGACATATATAGATGCTTGTAATATGAATTGTTAACTTTATACATGATGTACCATTTTCAGAGGCTAGTTTGTTGAATGTTTTAGATAAGTACATCCAAGTACCTTTTTAGCCTAAGGAGCCTGAGAAAGAATGTTAACCATTTTTAAACTTCAATTGGACCTTACTCTGCCAACTGAATGAATTTTGTTGTGTAGTAGGTCAAACAATGCTTCAGAATGGTTCAAAAATGAACCATTGTGTAGAAAGTCTGAGAGTAAATGTTCTCTGTATCTATGCTGGAGCGTTGTAGAGTGGGATTATTGGGATGGCTCATAAATCTTTACTTTCTAGAATAGACACTCTGATCTAGAATGATAAACTGAAAAAAGATGAACCTAACATTCTAAAATTATAGAATGTAAAGCTGTATGAATGTAGGTTGTAAATGCATTATATGTCTAACCATTTTCTCCATGTTAAAAAATGATGTATTTCATAAGTAAATAGCTCATGAAACATGAATAATTTAAAGGAAATTTCAAACAGCCTTTGATTTACTGGCATCCTTTAGTTTTCCCTTAATTCTATTCTTTGTACACTAAAGTAAGTGACTGGTTGATTTGTTAAAAAGTCAGCTCCGTAGGCATTCAATTGAATACCTGCTCACATATTATAATGGAATCTGAATATACACATGATTTAATGTCCTTTACATGTTGACTGTGTAATAGAGAAACACCCCAAACCTTAAAGAAACAATTATATTTAGGATAGATAGGTCAACTTCAGGATTCAAATACATTCTTTAGTAATACTTTAAAGTCCTATGTTTGTGTAAGGCAAATAGACACTCTTATCTTTGAAGAAAACGTGATCCACCCTCTCGAATAGAAATTGTATTCTTTATCTTAGGGTGAATATTGCTTTGTATTATCCTTCATCTTTCATAGATATTTCTTACATAAATGACAAGATATATATGTGACTCTGATATGTTCTAGGAAGGTAAATAAAAAGCAGTCACCTTCCAGTCATCACTGAAAATGAATGTGTTTTTTTTTCCTTCTTAAGGTTTGCCGTGAATTTCAGCGTGGAAATTGTACCCGTGGGGAGAGTGAGTGCCGCTATGCTCACCCTACGGATGTTTCCATGATTGAAGTCACTGATAATACTGTGACAATCTGCATGGATTACATTAAAGGCCGATGCTCCCGGGAGAAATGCAAGTACTTTCATCCTCCTCCCCACCTGCAGGCCAAACTCAGGGCAGCTCATCACCAGATGAACCATTCGGTTGCCAATGCAATGGTAAGAGTAGGTTGGGACTATGGGCTTTCTGTTTGGGGGGCAGGAATAGATGATTCATGTAAGCCTACTTTATATAATATTCTGCATATGTAAACAACTGGCTACTCATGAGTGTATCTTAATACAGATAGCCGAAGTTATACATTAGAATAGATAGGACTAATTTATTCCAATTATTTGGTAATACTTCCTAATGATAATTTATTTAAAAAACTTTATTAATGATATTAACCCACTATTCTCTTTCTCATGATCTTAGAAAATGGTAAAAATATATGATTTTAATATTCAAAGATGGCAGAGTTGCCTCTGTATTCTGAGTCACTTTCCTGGGCACTTCGCCATTCACTTTTTAATTCCTTTGACATCACAACACTTGAAAGATGGAGTATTAAGTAGCTTCTGATTTCACAAAGGTCAGAGTTACCTTTCCAGTCTGGTGGCATGATACAGGCAGAGGGAAAGATCAAGGCAAAAGGCTGCCATAGCTTCAGGGAGATCCTGACGTGACTGAGGGACAAGGCCTCTCCTTTTGAGTTAGCCTAGCAGTCATTACTGGGCAAAAAGTTAGTTTTGATTGATAACACTAAAAAGTAGCAAGTAGGAAAACAGTAATTGTGGGACATAGTGTGAGAGGTCAACATTAGAAAACCTCAGGTGTTTCACTACATCCATGTCGGGACTTTAATGGGCAGAAATCTCCGTTCCTCTCCTACTGACAGTTCTGTCTCTCTCATTTCTATTGTTTACTAAATGAGCATACCTGAGAAGTTAATGGTGTATGAAAATTCTCTATTAAGGTTTACTGCCCCATCCTGCCCCAAGTGTTATGGACTGGAGACATTAAAAGGCCTTTTCTGTTGTTTGCCCTGCTGGGTGTCCACTACTCCTGGAAAGTCTTGCTCAATGGCTACCCTTGTGGTGGCTTCCCAGGCTGTTTCTTAGATTACTGGCACTTTCTTGGTCTGAGTACATTTTTACTACTTCCCTGATCCTAGCGATGAATCCGTCCCTTCTCCTTAGGCCCTGCCATCTGGTGCACTTCAACTGATACCAAAGAGGTCAGCCCTTGACAAGGCCAATGGCGCCACTCCGGTCTTTAACCCCACTGGTTTCCACTGCCAACAGGCTCTGGCTAACATGCAGATTCCGCAGCCGGCTTTTATCCCGACAGGTGAGAGCACAGCTCTGCGAATACTGGGCTTTAACAGTTTAAGTATGTGTGTTGCAAAGCCCCTTCCAAAGGGCTTTGTTGGGGGACTGTCACTATGTATTTTGACTATAAGTAAAGTAAAGCTATTGCTTTCGATTTGCTATTATCTAGAATAACATGATTTTGGAAATGAATAGCTTGAAATGAACGGAAGAAAGATGTTAATATTTTTCTTTTTTGGCATTTCTTTTGACTTTGTGCTTCTACAGGTTGATGCACTTGGTTTAATCTGAGCTAATGTCTTGACTCTTAGTTATTATTTCACAGATAGTAATTATCGGTCAAAAGAATTTTCCACCTTCCATATTGTAAATTTTGTGGTCCATATAACAATGATATAACAGTCAGAAATTTTTAAACCCTTAAGTTTATAGTAAATATATGGTCTATATTAAAACAGGTTGTTTCAGCCTCTGACTCTCAGAAACTATTTTTAAGTGAAAATAAGGAGTTGGGGATGTGTGGAGTAATGGAAAGCCTGTCTAGCCTTGGATTTCATCTCTACCACTGCCAGAAAGTTGTGGGATTTTTCTCTTAAAAAAATACCTTAATAAATGAAAGTATCATTTGCTTTAAAACCATTTTATAAGACTTATAAATTATATAACCATGCCTGACAAATAGCATTATATACTTAGACATCAGGAAATTAATAACTTGATCAGTTAGCTCATTGTGAAGGGAGCCATTAAAATAACAGTGTTCAGTTATTGACTACAGTCACTCATCTGGTCACCATTTATAAGGCAAACACAATACATTTATATAATAGTTTCTGGAGATGAAAATGAAGTTCTTTGACATATTTCTGTCACTTAGAAAGAGTGACAATTTATGTCTAATGATGTAGACTTTTCTTCCAAATCTAAAGAAAAATATGTAATGCCACAAGGTAAAAGAGAAAACCCATACGGTTTTGAAGTAGCTTTCTGTTTTTTCAGCAATCAATGCAATATCCATCTACATCAGATCACCCCATCTTGGCTACTTTTCAGGGTTTTTTTTTCATAACTATAGAATTATTTTGGTGGCCCAGAAGGTCCAGCCAGGGATGGTTGAGTGTGGAAAAATTTACATTGTTCATTCCAGGTTTTCTTTTCAATTTTAGAGTGACTGAATATAGAAGTTAGACATTTGTTTTGCCAAATTTGACACATATTAAAACCTAGTTTTAGTTGCATGGCCATAATCCCAAATACTCAAGAAACTTACTCAAGATTGGACTAGCTAAATATTAGATGGGAAGCCATCCTCAAATTCACTGTCTCAAAACTCAAGTATATAAATGTTCAAGAAATCTCCCCAATCTGCTTCCCTGAATTAATAGCAAACCTTAAAGCTAATTTAACTGAGACACCCCCTTAACGGAACGTCAATTGCCAAAGAGACTACTCCTCAGTTTCAGTGAGGTGAGGGACACATTTTTAATAGATTAATTCTCTAACAACAACAAAAGGCAAAAGACGTGAATTCTGAAGCATACCTTTAAGAGAATGTGTATAGTAAACAAAAGTTTTCCTTTTATGAATAAAGTTTGACAGTATATTTGCCTAGAATAAATATTTAAGTGAGATTATTCCTTTAAAGAAAACATAAAGTTCTTATTTAACCTCTGAATTACTTTTATTATCTAGGTCTGTGGTCTTAAATCTAATCTGTAATTATGAGCATGGGTGATTACTGATTTGCGTGTGCTGATGAACTAATAATGCAGAAACTGTCTTTGGAGTTAAAGTCCCCTTCTATCTATAAGACCTTAATAATGAAATCTCTCTTTTCTTTACTTTCCACGCTTTTCTGCACGGTGTACAGGGCCAATACTGTGCATGACTCCCGCTTCAACTTTTGGTAGGTTTTGTACAAAAAAAAAAAAAAATCTCACTTTCTCTAACCTAAAACCGTCTTTCTGCTGTGACTATGAAATCACAAAATGATGTGAGTGGACATGTTCTGGTACGTAGGGGGTCCTATGGTGCTTTGTGCAATCAAAGTAGACCCATTTCTCAGGTCTAGTAGGTTGCCACTGTAGCTAAATTCTAATCCTGCCATTTTCATTTCTTTCCTAAAAATAGCAAGTGAAATATTTTTTTAAATATTTCCTTCCATACTGAAACTAGATGATTTTTTTCTGGCCCTTCTAACTATTATTTTAAAAATAAATTTCTAATGTAGAATTTATAAACTACAATAAAACAATCTCCTCCCAAAGTTCTCCTTATAGTGTAATGTATTCATTACACAGATGTTGAGAAAGGGTGACTTAAGCAAAGTTAGAACATCCTGCAGTGTTCTGTGATAGATTCTATAGCATCCAAGAAGGAAGCATCATCTGCCCAGAAATTAGGCACAGCCGAGTCATTTCAAAAGTGAGTTGGGGGTAATTGTGCAATTTGAAATTTCCAGTCACATCCTCTCTGCCTTTTGGCTAACATCAAGTGAAACAATCAGTTACACAGGAATTCTGTAGTTAGCCACCACCACCACAGTTCGTAGCCTTCCCTAAGCCATTTTGTATTTCACTAATAGAAAAGAAAATGAAAAAGCCATTGGAGTTCCTAGGAACCAGGAACAGATCATGAAAAATTATGTTTTTTAAAAGTATGATTCAGAACACATCTTAGCATCTCCTAACACCCAAGTTCCTCTCACTTTACAGAATTCTCACAACTTGATCTCCACCCCACTGGTGGACTAAAGGTTATGTGTGAGATCATTGAAATAAGAAGGAAAGGGGAAAATGATGACCACATAGAAGCAACACAAGATTGCAACCTTGTCAAAGGCATGAATGAGGCCTGTTATTGAAGGATTAGCTGTCCCCCTGTAGGAATTAACATTACCTTGATACTAACAGGAATATTCTATGAATCTAAGGGGAAGAACTGACTTCTGCAGGTTTGAGAACTGTGTCTCTGTTTTCAACATTTTGTGACCTGCTTCTTGGGGCTGCTCCTTGTCCTTTCCCTTTCAAAGCTCTGCTTCTGAATGCAATTGCATGTTTTGGCACTGTTGCTGCACTTCCAATGAGAAAAACATGAGTGGTTTTAGAATTAGCACGTGAGACAAGGAAAGATAGCAGTAGGAAATAAGTAGCCAGAGATGGATAAAAGGAGTTTCTGTTACTGTTTGGAGGGCATTCACTTTGTCAGTACACTGTCAGAAACTCTGAATTTGACTGAGGTAGACACGACAAGTCATTATATGTGTATGCTTCCCATTCACACATTAATTCTCTGCTTGACTTTCCAAAATAATCTGGAAATTAGAAAAGCATCCAAAGGCTTTGAAAGTGAAAGTAGCAAAGCAAAGAAAAACATCCCCAAAGAGATTTTGCAGCTGCTAGCCATTGGGGATCTAATATTTGCTGCGAAGGCAAGATTTACTACAAAGCACTTGTATATTTGAAATAGTTAAAAATGTCCAAGGAACTTAGCAAACTGAATACATACTCCATTGTTTTCATCATACTTGCTCTTCTACTACATACTTATCAACAGAACCCCTGTTCTTTTATATGCAGATCAGGTAAGTACACATAAAACTGCCATTTGTACAAGAAAATCGAGTTACAGAACTTGTCAGTGAACCCAAACACCAGTCGACAATTCCTTAATTAAATTTGACTGTGCAACCCAGTGACTTGTCTGCTTAACTAGCTTTAATAGGTAGCCCTGGTAACAGCAGATTTTTTTCATATGCCTTCATTAGTTCCTGAAAGTTCAGCCCTTTGAATCCACTACAATGTTATTTTGCTCAAAATGTTAAGAATGGCTCTGTTTCATTAATTGTGTCTATAATTGGCTTTCCCCTTTTTCTCTTTTGAAATTTTCCTCCATTCCATGCTGTGCTGCTTTGCACTGACTCTGGTTGCATGCTGCACCCTGGTGTGTACCCATCATGATGATGTCACATGGCTTGTTGCTGGAATATCTACTACACCCCATTCCATCGTATCTGTCATGGTTGTATAAATGCTTCACCCTTCCATGTGTCACTTCCATGATTTCCTACTGCAAGTGCCCATGATGCACGGTGCTACACCTTCCACTGTGTCTGCAGCAACACCACCTGCCAGCAACGTTCCCTACGTTCCAACAACTACAGGCAATCAGGTTTGGCCATTTATTTCATCTGTTCAGACCTAGATAACCACAACATGCTGAAAAGGCACTGTATATGCCTTTTGGATTGGTGAGATTTATTGGTCCATATGCTTATGTGTTTCTTGACCAGTCATTAGGTGTGGAACTTTTATTTTTTTATGTATAATTTGGGTACTGTATGTGGTTTTCTACTCATCTCAGAGTTAAATTGGCAGCATGCTTACTCATTGTTAATTGGTAAGCAGATGTTATTCGTGTTATTCCATATCAAATTATTGCTACCACACCAGTCCTCAAAATGTATATGCTGTACTGAATATGTCTGAAATGCTTTTTCATCCTGATCAAGAGGAAAACTTATTTTACTACCCCCTCTTCTTTTTTGGTTATTGTGTTTGGACTTTGATTTAGTAAACACATCACCCTAACTTGCAGTTCCACTGGGTGAGAAAAAAGGCATGCTATCATATTTCTTTCCAAAGAATGTACATCCTTATTTTCACCCAGTGATTACATCAGAAATCCCTTCTCATGGAGACATTAGATGTGTTTGTGTTGTTTTGATTTTCATTTGGCTTAGTTTTTCAGGCAGAGTCACAGGCAGATGACCAATATTTAGGGAATCTTGACATTAGGAGGTAATTAATACAAAAGCTACTGAATACAGTGCTGCCGGTTCCGCCTCATTAAAGTCATGGCTTGCCCCCGGTCAGCTGCATAAATTTCAAGCATGATAACTATGACGCACACAGCATTCATTCAGTGAATAAACCACACACCAACCTGTGCTCTGCAAAGTTGACACGGTGGAAATAGTAAACGTAAAGTTTTCTCTGAAACTAATCATTGTTATTGATGCACCAAACTCAAGCAATGAACAAAATAAACGGAATTCTCCCAAGACACCATTGTAATCTACAATATTTTTACTACTGTAGATGCCCCAATTATCAGTAGATGAGCTGAATAGGAACATGTTTGTTTCACAGATGTAGAAGTTACCAATAGAACAGTAAGCTTCTTTAAGTATTAATAGATGTTATTCGTAGGTTGTATCTTTTATTTACACAGTTGAATTTGCTAAGGTTTAGGGAACATTTTTCTTTAAAGACGTTGCTTATAACATGAGTTTGACTGTGCATTCAAATTTCCAAACTGAACTATGAGAAAGAAGAGATGAACTTTTTGATGTGATAACAGCTGTTGCTCTATTTTTCTAATGACTTTACATACTCAATGTTTTCTATTTTTCAAAGGGGCAAGATTTTTTTTTTCAGCCAAAAGTACAAATCACATTTGAATTTTAATTCTTTAAGATTCCGTTGTTCTTTTCACAACAAGATTTCTCTGTGTAGGCCTGGCTGTCCTAGAACTCACTCTGTAGACCAAGATGCCCTAAAAACTCTGAGATGTGACAGCCTTTGCCTTCCAAATACTGGACTCAAAGGCGTGCACAAGGACACCCAGCTCAATTCTTTAAGCTTTAACTTGATTTTTTTGTTGTTGTTAAAGCAAACAAAAGTAACTTTGTCAGAATTTGACTGATAATATTATTTTAAAGACAGTGAGTGCTGTTTCTTTCTGAATCAGTATACAAAGCTGGGCTCTTTTCTGTATGTCGCAAGGTGTTGCATCCCATGTACCTCAAGTAGAATTGCTCCAGCTGTTTTGAAGTTTGAATGACATACAAAATAATTTAGTGATCTAATAATAATTTTTATTCTTTTCCCACCCTTAACCCTTGACCTCTACTTTGCCTAGATCAGGGACCATTAGCATCACATACGTAAATCTAGGGGATTATTCCTGTGGAGCATGTTTGTTGAAGATACATAAGAACCCTAGACATCTAACACGTGAACCTGTTTGGAATTGCATTGTCAGTGTAGCAAGCTTAAATGTCTCCCACCTACAGCCTGGCATTTGGTTGAAGGATGTATCTGATATGCTTGCTGCTGCCCTGGCTTCCCATCTCCCAGCAATAGGTCCCTAATATTGTTTCAGACAAAGCCCCCAGCTATTGTACGCTAGATAAGCAGATTCCCCCAGTCATAAGGAATGTTTTAAAACAACATGGAAAAACTGAAGGAGCTGGAAGTTAGAATCATTTGGCAGGTGTTATTTGGAATAGCAACTTGGGAAAGCATGACAATGGAGGTTTGTCCAATGCTTGCTAAGCCCTTATAGGGTGCTACACATCAAGGTAAAGAAAATTCAAATATAATTAGTTTACATAAAATATGTTAGGAAAGAATTATTTTTTTCTACTTGATTCCTTTGGAAAATGAGGTATTTGGCAGAGAATAATCATGTTCATGTGTACCAGGTGTGGAGATTTTCTTTGAAGATCAAAACTGTCACTTTGTATAATAGTATATGGCTTACTCAGGATATTTCTGCAAGGGTATAAGATATTCAGATAAAAGTGTAATGCTTTGTTTACTATTGGACCTTTTCAAGGTGTTTGGTATGAAGTACATTTTGAAGGTACATGTCTTTTAAATGAGATGAACCAATATTTAGGTGATGAGCAAAAATTTTGGTATAATATAGATAACACCTTAAATATGGCCCACCGTTGGAACCTCCCATAGACTATCCCAGCAATGTGTCTGTTTAGTGATTGTTTGCATTAGCCCACTGTCGCAGAGGGTCTGAAATTCAGAGTGGGGAATATCTTGGCTTATTAGTTCATATATAGATGTGGAATAAGAACTTGTGTCAGGAGACCTGACACCTTGTTCAATAATCCTTCAGTGCTTCTTACTGACTCTCTTGTTTTGTTTTCTATTTCAGTTGAAATATTGAGCAGCAGAGTTACAGAGTATCAGAATCTCTCAACAAGAAACTCCATGTGGCCTTTCTATATGTATTCTCGTATGTCCTCTTGTACCAACACAACAATAAGCATGGTGCAGTCAATATATTAAAACACATACCTGTTGACAAGTTCAAATTTTAAAAATCTGTGGAGATGCTAAAGCAAGTAGAAAATTAACCACTATGTGTTACCTAATATGGATTAATTGTATATGAATTAGCATACAGAATACAACCATACAGCTTTGTCATGTATATGAATTATCAGATCCATATTACATGAATTTTCCATCTGATATGAATTACCATATTGAATATAACCATAAAATTTTGTGACTTCTTTCCAGTAATGATTTATGCTAAATGAACTTGCACAGTGTACTGCAGGCTTACTGTATACTCTTGGTGGATAAATTCTGTTTTTGAAGTGTTACCTTACTATTCTGTTTACAAGATAGTCTATAAGATTGATGTAGAATGTAACTGATTTTTCCCATTTACCATTTCCTCTGTTGGTATATTGTATTAAATTGGGTTCTGCTTAGCTTTCCCATGCTATAGTGTTTTCTTGTTTATACATGGTGTTTGATTCAATTAGAATGTCATGAGTGGGGAACAGAACTATATGTGATTGAAAAATATAACAGGTTCATGGTAATATGCCCTCTTTAAAGCATTTCTGTAAGTTTCTGTAGGCATACATTTTAAAGGTCTCATTTCTGAGTATGCACAAAATCTGTTCATGTATAGAATTTTACCTGTAGATCTGACCTTGCATAGTCAATAATATACTAAATTTTTTAAAAAGAAAAATACATGCCTACATGCGATAGGAAAGTTCAAATGTTAACCTCAAACCATTCCTCTTAAATAATTTGAGAATCAAGCGTTCACATTCTAATAAATTTCTTAGCATGTATAAAATTATGGAGAGTAGCCATTACATTTATCGTGTCACAGGAATCCTTTTTCTCAGCTTGAGTGTCTAAATTTGAGCCATTTGTCATCTTCAGCTGAGAAACTGGTACTTACTAGTTTAAAGGTATGCTAATCATATGTTGAAAATCAAGCAGAGAGATGTGGGTGTGGAGACAGTTTTTATGTACTGGCAGAAAGTGTGTAAAACCTTTGCATTGTAACCTTTTGCACAAATGCTGTTTTCCAAATGCAAATGGCTCATGCTCTTTTCACTATTCTTTGAATAATAAGTAAGACGCAGTCTAGCAAAAGTCAGTCCAGGTGAAAGAAAATTGTTTCCAAATGAGGCCTTACCTCCCCAAATGGACCATCTTTTCTATTGATCACAGAAGGAGGCTGAGTACAGATTTAGGGAAATGGCAGGAATGGGGGCAGGGAGAGATTTCAAATGACTTGGAATGTGCAAAAGACCTAGAAAAGGGTTCTGCGATTGTCTTTCAGTTTAGTTTAGCAGAGTTTCCAGTTTTTCTAAAAGCAGCAGTGAAGTAGCAAGCATTTGTGCTATATTGACAAGTGTTTCTCTGCCAAAACGTTTAACATCAGAGGGTTTTTTGTGTTGGGAGGGGGGCAATGATTTGTCCAATTTTGTCTCAGAACCAAATCTGTTTTTGTCACATCTGAACTTACTTACCTTTGTGTGTGTTTAAAAATTAGTCAGTTTTAGCATCCTTTGGTTAATAGAGAATAGCAATGGCCCATGGAGGTGTGGTGTGAATTCTTCTTACTAATACTTAGGAAATAATCTACAAATATAGTAATCCATCTATTTCCGTGACATATAGTGTACCTCTTCTACTCTACAAAGTTATAAACATTACTATTGTTATAAGAGGGAAGAAACATATTTTCCAAAAGCCTAGGTAAATTGAATATTTTGTACTTAATATATATTCTCCCACTGGAAAGCATAAAATCAAATTTTTTTATGTCTAGCAGTTGTTTTTCTTCGTGAAATTCATGAGGAAAGAGAAACTATTTGGGATACCATAAGACAGGTACTTGGATTGATTTGCAGAACAATGGCATTGGCAAAGACTTTATTATTGCCTTTTTCCACAGTTGGTAAAACAGAGAACCAGACTGTGGCTTGCCTAAGGCTGCCTAGCCATTATGGGAACCAGTTGTTCTCCCTTTGTACATCTTTCTTGGAACGTTTGAGACTCCAACTCAAAGCAGATCAGATTGGCTCAGAATTTTTAAAAAGCAAAATTATCTCTGGTGGTTGGTATCCCATTGATCTTAATTATCCAGGTGAATCCTGGTCACCAGTGATTTCTAAGTAGTCTTGTTTTTATATTAATCCTCTGCCCTTTGTTAACTATTGCCTGCAACTAAGCGATTGAGAGTTGTCTGTCTTTTTACCTGTGGGCTCTTTGAACCACTATGTTTCTGTTTTCTAACATCGTAATTCCAGGAAGAATGTACCTGAGCTAGTCTAGATGTAGTTATTAATGGATATGAGAATGTTTTGTGCAAAATGAACTTTCTGTAGTTTGACAGTTTGGTGCAACATACTATCTCGTTTAACTTTTTAAACTTTTGACCAAGATGTATGTGGATGATGACCTTAGCGTAGAGTTGTACTCATGTTGCTCTGAGCACTGGAAGATGTTAATGCTGACTTATATTTAGGAAGAGATTCAGTCAGGAATATTCAGGGTAGTTGTCTTTTTAGTGCGATGAGTTCCCTATAATCTAAGTGTTAGCATTTTAAAAGTTGCAATGTACGTGAAGTTTAAGAAAGCAAGCTCAAGACTCGAACATTTTGATCAATTTGAAAGGAGTTTTGAGGGAAATGAAACTTTAAGATGGCACTCTAATTGTGCAATGACTAATGACCTAATTGAAGAAGAGACAAGTCATTTGACTATAAATTGAGTTAACAAGACCAGTCACAACGAATCAGTGACTCTAAACAAAAATTGACCGAATTGCTTGTATATAAACCAAATTCTAATCAGTTGTGATTTCTAGTTAGAAGTTTTTAGTCTTTGTGTTTTACCATGGCCTCTATTTTGATTTCTCCAAAATTATTGGCTTTGTCCATCTTGTCAGCCTTTTGCCAAAATTTGCAAGAACTCTGAAACTTGGATAAAATGTGTCAAATCTACAAATAAGCAATCTAAACTTGTCATTTAAGGAGAGCTTAGTAATTTCAGTTTTTACAAAAACCACTAGGAGACCACAATGAGTAGGGACTAGAATGAAATCAAATGGATTCATACAATTGCTATTTCAATACAGTGTTTACTTTTGAAATTGGAGCATGAATCCACACCTAGCAAATACTTTTCATTTGTCTTTTCTAAATTAATCTTCAATTTTCATCTAGTCCTGAAAGCAGTCTGCTTGCTAGCCCATCAGTTTTGCTTGTCTGTCCATCTCTGAGCATCCGAAAATATTTTGATCTTGCCATAATTGTTGGCCTATGACACTCAGCTGTGTCCACTCATGAGAACCCTCAACTCACCTGATCTCCATTTCAGAAAGAAACCAGCACCTGCTCTCAACTCTCAGCAGGAACCAAATGAACGTAGTATTTTGTACTTCAGTTCATTTTAAACAGCATGAGCAGTTAGACAGTGCTGTGTGAGGAAGGGACAGCAGCTGTAGTACATTGTAGGAGATGAAAGAGGCTGCTGAGGCCACTCATGCGCTACTTGGAATGCCAGTTGGTTATCTTCTTTGTCTTTGGTGTTGGTAAGGATGCCCTTAGACGAACTGCAGCAGAGGTTTTCTAAGATCTGGCAGTCTGGGGGATAGGCTGTGGCGTGAAGAATATTAGTAACTTAGTTCTCTTTCCACCTTAAGAAAAGAAAAGCTCTTCTACATTTCACTGAAATGGACATGGAGAGGGGGTTGTCTGATTTTATTTTGATTCATTTGGTAGATTTGATTCCAAGTTTTGATTTGTCGATTTAATAAGATAGTGGCCTAATTTTACCAGAGCCTATCAGTGGTAGTAGAATAAAATAGCAGATAAGAGAGTTTAGGTTTTTTTTTCTTTTGAAAGTTTAGCAGATAGTCTAATCAAACTGTAAATGTAATTACAAATACAGGCTCTGAGTACCAAGTCACTAATTGGTGCCATGTTTTTGTTTTACTTATTGTTAGTTTTTAAGGTTTTCATTGTACTACATTTTTATATCTAACTAACTAATGAGTTTAATTTTGAAGGAGAGTTAGAGAATGTTTAAGTTTTTACAACATATATTCAGACCATCTCTGTAGGCTCTAAACTGACACCGTAACATAATTCAATATAGATACAGTCCATAACTGCTCTCTACAGTTCACAATTCAAGAACAAATTTAGCATTGTACACAAATGATAGATGTCAGCTAAATATATTTAGTTGTTACTTTGGCAACAAAACTACAACATGGCTACCTTTAGACATTTATGCATGTAAAACTTTTATGTGTAAGCTATATGTAGTTCATGACACTGCAAACATATTGAAGGTACAGCTCAAAACTCAGAAAACTGATGATGTTTTTGAAGTCCTGTGTTCCATGTGAAAGCTGAATTTGTGTCCTCATGTAGTTTTTTGTCCAAAAAAAAGTTTATAACACATGGATTCTAGAATCAGGCTTTATAGTTTAAAGAATTTATTGCATGGATAGGGTTATTCTACAGTATTTTGACACCAGAAGAAGCTTGACATAGATATTACCTGGCCTTTTTTCACAATTTTATTCAAAATTATCTATTCATGTAGTATCTGTAGTTATAAAAAGATTCTATTTTCTGGATTTATTCACATAAACTATATGTGAGGATTAAAGCATACGTAAACATTTTGAGATTAACTCATTTTTTGAAGCCACCTATAAAGATCCTATAGAAGGGCCCCTGAACAGTGTTTAAGAGACATATGCTGCAGTTACCTGACTGTCTCAGTTAGGGTGCGAATGTGTGAGACCCAGTTTTTTTTTTTTTTGCACTTATGTACATAGTCCATGAACGCAATCCTTGGAGCTTTTGACAATTTAAGAAGTCTGTGGTGATAGAGGAAAGTTAGTGAGAGTGCTTTCTGAGGCTCTAAGAATTAGTACAAGCGTCGTGTTGAAGTATTGTTGTGGAGGCTGGCTAGCTTGCTACAGCTCACCAGAAGCTCAGACTGCTACCAAATGCCAGAGCCTCCTAACAGCACTGAGTCAGAATACAAAGCACTTCTTTTCGTAAGGCTACTAGCAAGGATGATTTCCTTTTTGAATTAACTCCCACTGTAAACACACACACACACACACACACATACACACACACACACACACACACGCTCAAGCATATATGATAAGGTACCCAGCAGAGATTTTCTTTTTTCCAATTATAGAAAGCAGAAAAATATACTCTGTATATTACAAGGTAGTTACTCTCAAATCTAATTACAACAGGTTTCATCCTTCGTAGTTAATTCTTATATCAATTAATGTGGATTTAAGTGATAAATTGTTAATGTTTTAACTAAACAGAAGTGAACCAGCCCAAATCTTACATAAGGTAGACACTGGAAAGGCAATGTCAATTTAACTTACTCTGCCTGCTTTCACTCCACACTTGCAGATAGCCAAGGAGTCTTCTGGTTGTCCTCCAAGGCACTGAGGCTTAGCAAAGTTGGAAGTTTGAAAGGTTAAGGGATGGACCATCACTTTGAATCCTTCCCATCTTGAGGCAGGTGTCTTTCACACTAAAGAGGAACCTCATCCTAGGCTAAGGGGAGTTGTTGTGAAATGTTACTTTTCATACACTGCTAACACTCTTGGAGACATATACCTAGATCTGCAGCCATAGCTCATTAGTACAGCACTTGCCTGGATGAGTGAAGTGCTGGGTTCCATCCCCAGGACTGCAAAAATAAAAAAAGGGGGGAAGAGAGAGTGAGAAAGATAGAAAACAGACCAAAGCCACAAACAACCCAAGCCTTACATGTATCCTGTAGCTCAGGGCCAGTTGGCTAAAAAGTACTTTTATTTTCCCCTCAGCTTCTGATCGCTAAGTCAGTTTGTTGTATGGCTATACAACAAACACCCTGACAATCTGAGTAGCTGGTTTTAGCCAATAGGAAATGTAAGCATACATTCATTTTATAGTTAAGAATGCCCACTTCAGCCTTATTACCCCCCTAATTTCACTATTTAACCAGCATCATTATGTGGACATTCCCTTGTGAATCTCTAAGTCATAAAAATGCATAGAAAGATGAACTTTTGTGGGTGGTGTTGGGAATACAGCCCAGGGCTTTGCGTGCTATGCAAACGCTCTAACACCATGACTAGCCAGTGATAAGATTTTATGTCTAGAACTATCAACCATAAATTAGTAGGGATGAGCCTTGAAGCATCCCAAAAGATAGCCAACGAATTTATAACATGTGCATGCCCACAGCCACTTGGTGCAATGCTGAAACTTAAACATGGTGGCTGGATTTCAATCGTTCAAACAAAGGAGAGAATTAAGTATAACAAGTGCAAGTGACTCAAGCTAAAAGATAAATTGGGATTCAGTTTGACAAATTTATAATTTCTAGCCCCTCTGCCTTGCCTGTAGGTGAATTACTCACTGGAATTCAAAGTCTAGCTTATCCCAAAGAAAGTGTATGTTTATAGATAACCCTTCCTCAATTATATTGTACCTAAAAAAATGAAAAGTGCTTTGGTCTGAAATAAGTTGCCACTCTGTATAGATAATACAAGAATCCTCACTAGCCCTCTTTGACATTGTGTTACTTTAAAAATACCTCTGTAGCAAGAGCTAGAATTAAGTGAGCTTTTTCCCCACACACATACAACCTTAAGACTCTGTCATAGAACTGCATGGTTCCAAAGCTTTATTTCTGTATACAGATGCTATCTGTTAATGATGGAAACCAAATTGTTGTGTTGCTGTGTCTTTTGTGTCTAGCAGTTGAGTGGATGATATGACCATCATTTCATTAGATGCTGGGGATAACCTTTTCAAAATAAGTTTCTTAATATTACTTTAGATGTAAAATGAGCCTTTTGCTCTCAAGTTAAAATCATTAAAATGAAGTCCATGTTGAAGAAAGTGAGGTCTCACTATATTGTGTAAACCAGTCCGAATTGGATGGCCTTAAATGATTTGATTCTCCCGTCTGAGCCTCCTGTGTGACTTACTTTGCTTTACCATGATGAGCTGGATTACTCCTTTGTGTAATTTTAAAAGGGTAACTTACAGCTTCTGCTAACAATGATCTGGACTGTAGAATGTGGAAGCATTTGTTTTGGGCAGAAAATGGCAATATAAGAATTTCTTAGCCCTGTGCAGCAATTTAAAACTTAAGTAAGGACCAAAATATTTTACAAGTAAAAACTGCATTTTGTCCCCAAATGCAGTAATTCATTCCCTCAACTGCAGATGTTTGGACTTTCTCAAGTTACAGTGTTGTATTGCCTGTTTGTCTCTAGAAGTGTTCATTATATAGCTCATTTTAGTATGCTACTTTTTATGTTTCTTTTTTATTCTTTCAATAAAGTTTGCAAATTCCTTGGTTATGTCTTCATTTATGAATCCATATTCACACAGACATTCAGTCAAAAGTTACTCATGTTCTAGTATACAAAACTTGACATTAATAACTGTAATGTAAAATTTAAGTTTGTGATTTAGCTCAGTGTTACATTTCATGCACACAGTAAGTTTATTTCAAAATTACGTAAGTAGTTTGGGATAGGTAGATGAAGATTCATTTTCTTTGATATATTTTCCCCATAAGATTGTAGTTAGCAACACAAAAGGTTACATTTTAGTAAAAGGAAACAGAAAATAATATTGTGGTCTCTGTTGTTTCTTAGAAGCACTATGGCATATTCCAAAATACATGAGAAATTTGTGTGTACCAATTATCCATTTTTATTCTACACTTCCAGTATAACATATGAAACCAGTGTGTTCTGTTCATTCTCATCAAGATCTGCATCAATGAATGGTTTCATGACAATAAGATACATGGATTTTTCCCATTAAAATGTTTTTCAAGGATTTTGAACTATTCATCTCCAACAAATGACACAGCAACAAAAGGATTCTCATTTTTGTTCATTAAGAAAACAAATATAGCTGGGTGGTGGTGGCGCATGCCTTTAATCCTAGCACTTGGGAGGCAGAGGCAGGTGGATTTCTGAGTTCGAGGCCAGCCTGGTCTACAGAGTGAGAAACCCTGTCTCAGAAAACCAAAAAAAAAAAAAAGAAAAAGAAAACAAATATAATTACAAAGTCCCCTTCAATTACTGGAGGTCAGGCCTCTATCCCTGCCTTCTCAAGATTAGAATTGCCACAGCCCTTCTATACTTAGAGAAGGGGGGAAATGTCAGGGGCAGCCCTGCTTATACACTGAAGGCCTAAAATCAGTCATAGGCCTCAAATCAGTAATAGGCCTGACATACATGTATACTAACACCAAGTCTTGGGTCTCTGTGGAAAAACATTGAAACAGATGGCTATAAGCTAATGTAAACAGGCAGCTTTTGTGGAAATTTACCAGCCTGGGTAGTCATAGACCTTGCAAATAGGTAGCCTTAGTGGATAGTACCAACTTAGATAAGGACAAGTGAATCATAGGCAGAGTCCTAGTGACCTGTCCCCTGAACCTTCACCCAGCTGATACCCTGTTCTGAAAGATACCTGTACTCCCCCTGAACACACACGCTCTGGTGTCATCCCCTTCTCCATGTCCTGCCTTTTTGTGTTTATAACCCCTGTGTGAATAAGTAAAAATTACAGTTTGGTTTAAAAAAAAAGAAAACAAATATAATCTGGCAATATTTTATTCTGCCAGATCTCTGAAAGTCTCAGAAAATCTAATACAGAAGGTCTCTGCGTTTGTCACTGTCCCATAGTTGAGCCAATAGAAGACTGGTGTGAAGAAAGCTTGTATCAAAAGCTGGTATTCACCTGTCTAGGACAATATCAAGGGCCAGAGAGGAAGGTAGGTCCTTTCTGGTATACGCTATTACTGTATTCTTTTACTCTTTGTGTCCTATTTTAACTATTTCTAATGTGATCCTCACTCTGGCATTTTATAAGCCACCTTTAAGCCCTTGGATGTGTTTCTGTGAATGACAAACCCAACACAAATTGATTCAGCATATTAACATTTATTAGAGGTTTGAGGCTTCTTCTGAATTCATTTTATGTCGGTTGATTATAGGTAATAATTCATGGCAGACATTCTCAACTATTGTTGAAGTTGACACATAAACAAAGCCAGATATCAACCAAGTTTTTCTTGGGAACTTTTCACTTTATTCCATAACATCCATCTGAGGCCTGTCTTACTCATTCCTAATAGCCTGTAGCCCTCTAGCCCCATGGTAGCAATTTGCCAGGCCTACATTCTCAGGTACATCTGGAATCTTCCCTATTAGAACCTTACTGATGAGATCCCAGGCTTCAGATAGCTGTTCAAAGCTGAAATGTAAGAGAAAAATTACAACCTAAACAATGGAAGTATTTAGTGAACTGCCTCTCCTAGAGAAGTTTGTACTTAGAAAGGCACAGCTCTCCAATGGACCAGGGTCAGACATCTTCATGTATAGATAACAGGTGTGTGTGTGTGTGTGTGTGTGTGTGTGTGTGTGTGTGTGTGTGTGTTGGAAGCAAGTCTAAAGCATCCACTCTCAGCGTTTAGGAGAAGCATTCTAGTTTCTGTATATTAGTAGTTCAAAGAGTTGCCACATCAAGAGGGCCAAAAGAAGAAACTGCTTGTATCTTTGTAATTGTCTGCGAGCTTCTCAAATAATGATGAATACAAAATACTAACTAGATTGTGAGAACCTGAAGATTCCAGCGTGCAGAACTTATTCATATGATCAGCTTTTAAAGAGTATGTCCCACTGACCAGCCTTTTATGTGATTATATTCGATCATAATCTAATGTCTATATTTCTTAATTAATATTCAACAGATGAACACACAGATGAACAGGTGATTTAAAAAAATAGCTCGTTTTGTACTGGAAACCTTCCTTTAACTGACTCCTTGGATAGTTTTCTTTTTTTTATACCTAGTTCACCCTTTTCCCATAGGCAGGTAGGCAGTGTGTATCTGGGGAATAAAGCCAAGAATACTTTAAATAAATAGGAGTAGCCACCAGGACATAGGCTACATGTGTAGGTTGTTAGATCTACACAAATATGGTTGTCATTCACAAAAGCACAAATGTCAAGTAGATGGCAGAAATCAGTATAAAAACAACATTCTGGCCAGAGTACCCCCAGAGTTTGTGTTGTGCCTGGAAACATCACAGGGCAGTGTCCAGTGTAAAGCACAGCAGGCACATATGAAAAAGTGATAGGATTGGCTATAGTTATCTTGTATGTGACATAAATGAAACAAGAGTTTGGTGAAAACAAGAGGTAATAGCAGGTGCATAGCAGACATACTCCCTGCTAAAGCAGATGGTCTATTCATGAACAGCTGGAGCTAGGGAACACAGAAGAAAGCTGAGGAGTGTCTGTAGTACATTTTCAGAGACTGACTACAGAAGACACTGATAGTCCTAGTGAGCATCAATGATAGTCCTAATGAGTTCTCAAGCAGAGGGTGTTCAAGAATGAGGCTGGGATGGAGACTTGCCCTCTACCTGTCATGACCTAAAAAGTTGAAAATTATGTGTTAGAAAACTTGGCAGTTAAAAGAGAAGTGTAATTATGTTAACTATGCAAGTATGTTGTACATGATTATTGGTGCACCCCTGTTTGTGTGTGTGTGTGTGTGTGTGTGTGTGTGTGTGTGTGTTTCATTCATGGTGTTGTGGTTCTTTGGAATTCCTATTGATAAATTTCACATTAAAATACATTTGGGGATAGTTATACCAGGACAACCTGAACTCACCTGAGTCCAGGTGATTAACAGTTACAATCTGGAGCTCTAGTTAGGTGCTATCAGCAAATGAGGCATTTGTGTAAACAAGCATGCCCACTTTTGAAACTATAGAAGACCTCAATGATAGTATCAAGCATTTACCATGATCTGAGCCAGCATCCAGGGACAGAGACCCATAAACAACTACTTTCTCCCGATAGATGCCATAAGATGTATTATAGAACTTAAAGGTGCATGGCATGTCAAGAACCATTGAGATGAGAGTGTGAGTCCAGAAAATCATCACAACCATTAAAGGAACATGGCCCAAGAGCATGGTCAGCATATAGTGACATTCATTATTGTCTTCTGTGCTTCTAATCCTGAGTAAACATCATTATAATTTTAGAATGTACATTTGGGGGACAACCAGGTGGTAAGGGCACCAAGCCTGATAACTTAAGTTTGAGCCTTGGGAGTCACATGGCGAAAGAGTGAAATGACTTCTGCAAGTTGTCCTTGAACCTCCACCTGCACTCTGTGGCAAGGGTCCACATGGTCTCCCGAACCCACTCCCTCCCCGCCTCCCTCTCTCCATCCCCCTTTCCTTGTCTCTGTTCCTTGATTCTGCCATTTTTCCCTCTAATCTCTGTCCCCACCCATGTCTGTCCCTCTTCCTCCCCTCTCAATAAGATATTTAAATAAAAATTAATGTGCCACTCTGGCTATTGTGAGAGTGGTTTATAAGACACTAAGTATCCTTAAGTGATTATTGTATGTGTGGTGCTCTGCCCTTCCAATCTTTCCTCCTTCCAGCCCACCCTTGTCACTGTGAGAGACGTTGTCCCAAGTCAAAACTTTCATTTCCTACCTTCACTATATTAAGAGGAAAAAGCAAATACAAATACATAATCACATATGTAGACATAAGACACACATATACACACAAGTACATGTGTACATGCATTGTTTTTTATTAAAATATTACATTTTCAAGTGTGAATGTATGTTAAATATAACAAAGTATACAGTAGTCCAAGTCTATTTTGAGGATTATGTTCATAGTGGATTTACTACTAGATTTTTAAATATTAGATCACAATTGAGAAGGTAATAATAGTATAATATATCAAAATACAGGTCTAGTTTTCTTTTTTAAAAAGGTTCCACAGTTTCTCAATTCTAGTGGAGTCAAGCATACATTCTAACATTGCAACTTTTTTGTTAAATAATGGTTTTTAAGTTTTTAAGTCAGCATATGTTCATTATACATAGTGATGCCTTTCATAAAGAGAATATCTTTCAAGCACAGCATCTCTTTGACTACAGTAAGTCCCTGTACTCTGCTTTCTCTCATCTCCCTCCGTTATACTCTACTGTTGGTACGATGTATATCAATTATTGTATGTATCTGTATGAAATCTAGAATTCAAAAAATTGTGGTTTTTTTTTGCAAAAGACAGAATGTTATTCTTCTTGTGGCCATGATTATACCATGTTTTTGTTTAGCCATTCATCCAGAGACACACACCCCTCTTAGGCTGATCCCATGGCTTTATGAAGAGTGCAACCATAAATGCAGCTGTGCAGGTATCTCTGTTGAATGTTGACTTAGATTATTTTAGGTATATTCCTAGTAGTACTTTAGCCAGATTCTATGCTAGTTCTCGTTGTACTTTTTAAAGT